ATATCAATGACCTTTGACATAGTGCACTCCGGCTCGACATTCAAGAATTGGCCTTTAGTTAACCTCCAAGCGGGGTCACGTTTACAGCCGTACAAACGAGTAAAATGTTAATGCCTTTACGTAAGGTCGAGAGTCTTGGGTGAAAAACGTAAAATCGGTTTTCTCTCGCTATTAATAATTGTTTTAGTACGCAAAAGACTCTATTTATACGATTTCGAACTCGTACAAGAGCAGCGTCAGCTTCGTCAAACATAAGCTCGAGATAAGAAGAGGCAGCGAAAGGTTAATTACGAGAGAACCGGCAATAAAGTCGTCCTTACTCTTAGCAAAGCTGAATTACAGCTTCTGCGCGGGATCGTTGCCGAGATTTATTGTAACGAAATGCAGAGCCGTGCTCCGTACCGGATATATGGCTTTTCTGCGTAGTGCATAAATTTCCGCCGGCGGCGTGTGTCTTAAGTTTCGGGTAATTTAATATTTTGCCCTTTAATGCCCGTCGGGCCCATAAAAAGCAACGTTACGCCATATACCTCCTATGCGTCCGCGATGCTCTACCCAGGCCGTACCTACACGGCATACGGTTATACGGCTGCGGTGGAAAAGAGGGTACGGCCAACTGGTACGTACCAATTGAATAAGACGCGTGCAATCGTAACGTTCCTCAAATTGGTTGTCTGTCGAAGCTGTTACGATTGCTTTAATACGAAGTCACGATCACGAGGGTACCTTGGCCGAAATCAGACAGCTGGGTATTCTTAATCGTCCTCTCGCAACTGGTTCCAATCGTTAACGTCAATTGGTTCGGCCTTTTCTCGTGATACTTCCAACTTGACGATTCGTCAGCTATTACGCGGCTTAACTTTTTCGACTTTTTCGCGACTCCAATTGAATTTTTCGAAGTATCGTTCGACCAACTTCCTAAGCAATGCCAACTTTACGATCCTTTGGTATAGAACCCAGTGCACAGGACTCTCTTCGTGTTCTCCGTAGACACGTTATCAACTTCACCTAAACAATTGTTACAGCTGGTTTCTTCTATACGGCTCGACGTGGCTCGTGACTCGGGATTAATTTATTATCAACCTGTAGTTATTGATGGGGGCAAATACTTTACTCGATACGTCATCAAACGGAGGACAAGCCATAACTCCTGAACGCTTCACGAAAAGTCTACACGGCTCGACCACTCGATATTTATAGTACAGTATTTTTTTTTTACGTTGGCATATCGCTATCGGCACTATCATCTTATTCTCTTATTTTCAACAGTACTGCCAGTCATCTTCGTTATTGAATAACATATAATTGCTCGTTACTGTACAGTAAGTGCATACGTGTTGCTGTCCCACATATCAGGCTTGCCCGTAGTATAACGTCACGCGTGTCAGTCTTACCGGCGCTTCAGTGCGTCTTACCTGCACGTACATGGTAAAATGAGATTTTTTAAAAATAAAATTACTAAATTTTATGGTAACCCAGTATATGGCTTCGTTCGATGTTTAATTGTTAGTTTTCTCATATATTGAGACTTTCCCTACTGTTTTCTTTTTACGGCCTCTCTTATACCGCAAATCTGCATACCCCTCGTGGAGCAATACAAGACTGCAGTTAATCTCTTTTTTTTTTTCCTTTCCTGTAGAAACTACATGGAATAGGTCGCATTAAATTCCATGAGGGTGGGGGTGGGGGGATGAGCCAGGAGGGAATTAACGTCGCACCAAAAGAGTTACTGCGTGTAAAATTGATTTTCGGCTGCGAAACGAGTCTGTCCTTTCTACCCCGATGGAGGTTTAATAACAAGGGCTCGTACTCCATTTTATTGCAGTTCTGCTTTAGCGCGAGTACGGAGGTCTCGTTCGTAACATATATAGGTATACCTTATGGCAAATTTATATAGATATACAGTGTAGTATTATGATACACGTAGATACATAGTAACCTTAATACGCACTATGTGCCATTAAACTATGAGGAAAAGGGAGAAGCCTCCAGCATCCATATACATATATATTAGTAGCTCGTACATTTTATTGCGATACTGATGGAAAAGAACGTCAGTCTCGCGATAAAAATTTTTAATATCCATTGACGTCATATCCCACCCTCTTTGGTCCTGGCACTGGCAGAGGGGCGGGAGAACAGAGTTCAAACGACGCGGAACGTCACTTGCATGTACTTACGGATGCAGAAGGATAATCTCCTTCAACATCCACCGTCCCACGTGGCACTCTCGTCTTTCGCGTTGGCGTCGAAAAATTTTTATTGAAATTTCTACGAAACACCATAAAATGCAGCCGAGTGCAAACAGTGTACGGCTGTATACAGCTGCCTGTAAAAGTTCATATTTTTTCTTTGCGTTGGCAAATTGGTTTCTTTTTTTTTCGGGTCTGGATATAAAAAATTATAATTAAATTGGTTCGTTCGTTATTCGGTATGTGTTTGTGCCGGAGTGTGTGCTTCTGGTACCAGTTGTGCAATTTTAGTTTAACGATGGAAAAAGGTCTGTTTTCATGTAGCTGCGTTGTTATCAGCTGGATGTACACTTAGTGCTTGGGTTTATGTTACGTTGTTAAGGTACCGGAAAGAGCAACGGTATACGAGTAGTATGAAATAGCCTTCGTCGGGGTCACGTTGTACGTTGATGAATGCGAGAATCGCAAATCGGTTGGTAGTTGTTTGCAACTCCAGCTGCGTATAAACTGTACAATTGCGATTCCACAAATCAGTCTGGTCGGCCAGGGTCGGGCAATTAACCCATTGCACTATTTTGACGCGTCTGACTCGTGATGAAAATTTTAGGCCAAACACGGATGTCACGAGTCTGACTCGTGGTCTTAGTTTTGGACCAAATTATATTATTATAATTAATCAAAATCTGTTTTCATCTTATATAATAATTAAATTATTTTTTTAAAGTTTTTGATTCAAATTCATTTGAATTTCACAAGAGTTCCGCATCGCCTGAAGTAAATACGGGCCACGACTACCTTGCGCTCGGTCGTAAGAATAGGTATCGAGTTTCGGCACGCGCGATCCACCGCTCGCCGTTCACCGCGACGATCGAGGCAGCCGCGTTCGGCCTGACTTTTCCCGAGGTTCCGAATAGTGCAAGGGGTCAACACGTTTGACCGAACCAGTTTTCCGCTAATTTAAGTTCGAACTGACGTTGCGGTTTCGGAGTCGGCAATTCCTTGACAGGGAGGAGCGCCGAGAGGGTTGACTTAAAAAAAAAAGTGATGAAACAGGTAAAAATAAATTTTTGGCTCGTAAACATGTTTCAGCCGCTAGTAAAAATTGTGGTATATAATACGAAACTAATATAGCCTATAGGCAATGTGTTTTTTTTTTTTTTATTTTCTATTAAAACCCACGATCTGTCATTTTTACGTAAATTCGATCTCAGCCCGCGACGAAGATCAAGAGTGTAATCCAACGAAAAATTCCTTTTTACGCCGAACGTAAAGTTCGGATATTCCCAGCCCGAAGCGAGAGACCAGCACAATGCAGTTTTCTCCAGGTTTTCCACACCCTGCCCATTTTACACGTGACATCGTTTGTATTGCCTGGCAGCCATGTTGGCTCGTACAAAAAGGGAAGCTTTTGCGGGGCACGCGATACGTACACCCTGCTGCACGCTTACCTACTACACGGAGGCCTTCGATAGCCTTTTATTGGTAACTCCGTGCTATCGAACTGCGCTCTATCCTTACGCCATCCTGCCGCGCGTTGTGGACGCTTAAAAAGCGCCTTTCTACCTCCGGCTTCTTTTATATCGACGGCAAGCCGACCCGCGAAACCGATACTTGGGAATCGCTCTAACGCTTCATTATCGCTGTACCTACGTGTAGCCGCGCTCGTAGGGTGAAGTGCGTCAGAGAACGTGGCGCGAGTTGCAATTGCAGTTGCCACTCGGAACGCAGTCTCGAGTGCAACGTACTTTATATTACTTGGGAAACGATGCCAATTCGAATTTCCATTACTGTTCGGAGTCATCGACGTCGATTGATTCAATTGATATATATGTATATATATATATGGCTGCATATCTCTATTGCCCGGGGATTCCCCGTAACTTTTTAAAGGCGCCAATTTCAAATCTTAAATCTCCCATACCACGGCCTATCTTCGGGTAAAAGAGCGCAACCGCGTATACAGCTGGTATATAGCTATTCGGTTCTGCATAATGCAAAACCGTGATACGTTGCCTCCTATCTGCCGATCGCTAATGACTCAAATATCTCACTGATTGTGAAACTTTACACGTACGTTATATCAGCGGCATCGTAAATCACATAAAAACAGCAAACTCCCGCCGGTACTCGAATGTGGCTCAAAGAGGAAGTTATTTATTATTTTGTTGGAGTGAAGATATTTATTATGAATAACCGCGGATGCCATAAATAACGGAGCCATGCAAACAAACGTAAATTGCCCTGACGGCCCCAAGATCCTACAGCTATATATATATATATATATACACACATTGCGAGTCTTTTACGTATGCAATCGCGTCTCGCTGCTTACTGCCGGGAAAGGGAACGATAATTATGTCGCCCAATGCGTACGCGCCGAAACTCCAACTGATTTATGGGAATACTTTGACTCGCTGTAATTTCGCTCCTTTACCCGCTACCACTTACATTAATAACCTGTTTCGTCACGACTACCGCCACCACGTGTAACGTGTCGTGCTTGACCTGCTAATCATAATACCCGACTATTATCATACGAATCTGATAGGCGTGTATTTATCTAAAAAAAAAAAAAAAGATTCAATCCCCTCGCGTGGATGCAATTTTTTCACGTGTTACTCTTGACACCTGTTTTGACGATTAATTTATTTTTTCTTCTCCTTACAACAAATTTATTTTCCTCTTACAAAACACGCGATTCCTTATTACCACCTTACGCGCTACTTCACACGTGCATCCTCTTTGAATGTTCCACTTATTAGATACCCCATGCCAATTGCCAATACAAACTATCGATATTTCTTTCAGGCCTCAACTTTCAGCACCGTACTCTCCTCCTTGGTCCAGCCTCGATCCTGATCTTGCAGATGCCTGACAGCGGTGAGTCATTTTTAAAATTTTATTATCCCTTACAAAAATCTCACTCGTGGACCCTACTCCAGGGAACATACTTCTGTCTCTCTCGCACTTGTTGGTACTTTCATCAAGGGTCGTCCACACTGATCCAGGATTCATAATTGGGTCCGTTGCGCGATTAACTCGTACGACTCAGAATGCATTCGCGTCGTTGTGTCGTGTCGATGAAAACTGGTCGTGGCGACAAGAGGCAGTTTCGTGCGAACAATGAAACAATAATAATTATTCGAAATGCTTGTACCCATTTACATTGTCGGCGAGTAGGAAGTACGGTGTATTGATTTTGCCGCTTAATGAGAACTAGGTGTCGTCTTTATGGACACGAGGTCTGCCTTGTATCTGAATCGCTGTATATATCTATATACATTGGCAACGTATACGTTGCAGAAGTACAAGGCGGACAAATTCTCGACGTATCTATATCTGCATATGGTACATGGGGTGTACACGGTAACACGTGGGGATGCGTGTAATTTAAGGGACGCTGAGATACCTGCCACCTGACTGTAGCTGTTTCGTTCGCTATTGAAACCAGCGACCGTTCGATCAGGCTACGTGATTTCACGCGAATTCGAGATTCGGCAGTTTCAATGATTCCGTATAATTTTCGTATCCTGCTTAATGAGAATCGAACCTAATAATTTCGAGTGGAGGGATCGGGGATTAAATAATTGTTTAATTTCGTCATCGCGCGCCAGGAATATTTTTCACTCTTCGCCCTAGGTCCTTTCTGATGCCTTTATCTTGAACGAGGGTCAACGACCTCTTGCAGCTGGAAATTTACGCGAAAATCCCATCGAGCTTTCACGCCTGCAATCTAGTCAGCTTTTGTGTCCAGTCGCGCATCCCTCATTGTTCCCTCGGCACTGCGTTACGTCTCTCTCGATTCTGTATCGCGTCCGATGTTCGCATAGATCATCCGTTGTCGTACCGTAGGTCCTAGATCCTCTGTGGTACTATGGATCCTGGATTCCCCATCGTACTATGGATCCTGGATTCCCCATCGTACTATAGGTCCTGGATTCTCTACTCCTCGACGGTTAGCGTAACGCGTCAGCCCGTGTATTACGTTACAATGAGAATCGAGTACGAAAGAAAAGTACAGTGAAATTTTTCCTGTAGTTTCGTCAGACATGTGTAAAGCCATATGGGTATTATTTTTTCCACCTTTTTTTTTTTTTTTTTTTTT